ATAGAAATCATCTCAATTGGGATTGTTGCTCTGGGTCTGTTTTTTGTTCATAGAAAATATTGTTTGGTGCATTGCTAAGTTTGTGTTTTATCACTGGAAGCTTTTTGCCTTCTGCTGGTGGATGATCTTAGTCTATCCCAGAGCTATTTTTCAGTGTTTCATGTTTCATGCATTCTTTCAAACCAGTCAACTCTCTGATGAATTACATGTTTCACTAGGCTAAAATCATCATAAAGCTTTGAATGCCTTCTTTAGAAGAATTCTTCTATACCCATTCTGACTCTTAAAAGTAGATTTTTTAGCATTCCTTTGTAGGAGGAATAATACGACTCTGTTTCCAAAACACTTATTGATGGGTAACTGCTGGCTGCTTTCAAAGCTCTTTTTCAAATTGATGTTATTTTACAAATTGAGTGCGTGTGAAGCATCATTTATCTTTTAATGGGCTTTGTGTTGCTATATTGCTTTGGGTTTTAGCAATAGCACAAGCTATCCCTTTGAGGACCAGGATAGAACTAAGGGCTCTGGGAGAAGAGAAGGAATACTGATTGGTTGGGATTTATTTCATTCATAGAGGATAATCAGTGATTCATTCTTACAGCATTGCCATTGGAAATGCATAAATGTTGGAATTTATTCTGGAAAAGGAAAGGCTTCTCTGTCCTTCTGGCTACATGGAGAGTGAGTTGTGGAGGCCGTGCTGATGGCACAGAGAAACAACACGGAATGGTTGACACTTGGAGGCAGAAAGAATTGTGGAGAGATGAGTCTTTATGTCACTTGGGGAACTCGACTTGGAAACAGAATTGCTATCATTTTCTCTTGGTGTTTCTCACAAGACTTTCAGTAAAACTACCAAGTCAGAACTTCTCTTTGATTTTTCATCTGGGAGATGCTTCATCCAAAAATGCTGATCTTCAGGGTTCTGTAGCAAAGTCATTGTAGTGTCTGCAAAGAAGCATACCTCCTCTTCACTTGGCAATATGTTTTTCCTTGGATGTGTCCCTTGCCAGTATTAAATCAGGCTATCCTCCTTTAGTCTAAGAAAGTTAATAAGATCACTAGCTAAAATGGAATGTATTCCTAACAGACTAATAAATTAGAGGCAACCCTCAAACCAGAAAATGGACCCTAATACAAAATAAAGAATAGTATAAGAATCATTATCAGTATTTTCCTTCTGAAAGCTTCCTTATAAGCAGTAGCTGTATATATTAATTTTGGCACAGAACCTATGTATGGATTTGGGCAGTGAGCTGGATGCAGCTATTTGGAGTCTTTCCAGGAATTACCATTGAATGAGCTAGTGATGAACATTATGAAAAAGCCAAGCTTTTCCACTGATAGCATTACTTTTAAATGGAATCTTTGTTTAAAGCAACCAAGTTTTTAGATGCATCAAACTGGCAGTTTTCAGAGGCCAGAATCAGGGTCGGCTTGAGTTTTACAGTGATACAAAGAGATCTGTATAAGTAACATGTATCATAGCTTTTATTTTATGTCATTTGGACTCTTGAAGATGACACTAAGGACAAAAACTAGAAGGGATATGAATCTCTGCTGCTGTGTTGTGAAGGCGCTGAAGTCCCTTGGGAAGCAGTAGCTGGGTTTAATCTCTGTTTCAGCTGCCTTTAATAGCATGCCATTCCCTCTACAAGAATTCATAGCCCAGTGCAGTGCAGATCTGTAGTGTTCTGTCAAATCCTTTCTTGAACCTCAGTAGCTCATGTGGTGGTGCCTTCCAACAGCTGGGAGATGGGCATTTTAATAGTCAGGTTTCAAAATATACTAAGATCATTAATTTTTGAATACTGGAGAGCAAGGAATGACATTCTGGAAGAGGGATTGGTCATCCCTTTGGTTTTGTGTTCTTTATTCATGTTTTTGATGCGACAAAATAGGTATTTCAAGACCTCACTGGCTTTCCTGCCAAAAATCTGTCATTTTTAATTAGCTGACAGGGCCAACTTATAACAGTGTCCTATGAATTTTCTTCCTTAACTTCCAAATCATTTCTGCTTTCAAGAGCCTTCTATGTTAGAGCGTTGTCCTGTCTAAATACACTCCCACTACTTGTGCCCTAGAACTGTCTAGAAAGATTGATTTTGGGATAAAGTACAAGTCAGGGAGTCAGAAGATCTGGTTCCCATTCTTTGTTTCCTGTATGATTTTTGGCAGCTTTCCTCATCTGCACGTTTGAAATAATAACTGCTCTCATCATGGGATTCTGAAGCTATATTAACTGACAGCAGTAAAATGTGTTGAGATGTCTAGATGAAAAGGTATGTAGTAATGCAGAATCACAGAAATGTTGATACAGGAGCAATAACTTAAAGCTGATTGTTTTATCATATTTACTTTGATAAAATACTTGCATAGAGAGAGCCCTTGTAGTCCGGGCCTCCCAACTGAAACTTACTGGCACATAGAAAGTGCCCAAAGTGAACTGTGGAAGAGGTGAGGTTTGCAGGATGGTGGACTTCAAAATAACAGTTTCTATAGCACAAATTCACCTATAGGATTCCCTTGCCTTTTGTATTGAGAAAAGAGGTTTGCTAGTGAAGTGATTACTGGGGATGTGTGAGATATTTTGTTGTTAATCTTGCACACACCGTGAAATTTGGGGCTGTATGTGTTTGTTTATACACTACCAACCTAAACCAGAAACTCTGTGACCTAACGCTGTGTGTCAGAGAGTTAAGGCTTGTATTCTTCTAACAAACCTAGCAGCTATTTGTACCAAAGGACAGATTTTGAGTAACTTGTGTGCAAATAACAGATAAATACTAACTTGGTTAGTGATCAGCAAAAGGACAAACTGCATGCAGCAAGCAAATAGTGTTCAAGCCCTTCTGAATAATTATAATCCTTCCTCCTTTTTTTCCCAACACAGAAATCGTCCATTATTTAATGTGGCCAGCAGTGTGGAGAACTGGGGTTGCCTTAATGATGCCCTTCTCCTTGTTCTTGTCTACCGTGTTTGATCCTGTAGTCAGCTACAAAATAATGTATGGAGTGACAAGGATGGTATCTTGATTGTATCCAGCTGTCTGGAACAAGTCAAGGGCAAAGAGGCCTTCCATGTAGCAGTAGATCCATCCAAGCACCCACTAAAGAATACCAGAAATATTAAAATATAAGCCTGTTTTATGCCTGTCCTTATCAGAGGAAGTACATTGGTTAGATCCAAAGCCAGCTGTGAAAGTAGTTAGGTTATAGCCATATCTACTGAAGTTAACATCAAAAGTTCCATTTTAATCATGCTTGGGGTTAGATAGTGTTAAAATCTTTTTGAGTAGGTGGTTGTATTTCTTTACAACAAGGAAGTATTGCTTTAGTGTCCTTTCACTCTGGGGTATGGCTTCCCTGAGTTGTAGGGCTTGGCTTGGGCTTTTTCATACTGCTTCCAGGCACCTTCCTATTCCAAGAATTGGAACTTAGAAGAATTGAAAGTGATCTATGCACCTCTGTAACTCTAGCCTCCCAAAGCAGATGTGTTGCAGCGTGTCACATCTCTTTCTCTTCAGGTTTGGCGTGAGTTCCCTGACAGGTTGGTTGGATATCCAGGCCGCCTGCATCTTTGGGATCATGAGATGAACAAATGGAAATACGAATCAGAATGGACCAATGAAGTCTCAATGGTGCTCACTGGGGCAGCGTTTTATCACAAGGTAATGTACAACTTGTAGTATACTAATGTACAACATGAACCTTTTTTAAAGAGCTGTATGTGTTTCTGTTGTTCTGTGTTTTGTGGTGCTGTGATGGTGTTTTCTACAACATTCAGAGTGCCAGTTGCAAACTTATCCCAAGCCTCTTGCAGTTGCTGTGAAAACAACTGATTTGTCTCTGCCTATAAAATAAAACCATTACCTTCATGAACTTAGAGGAGAACTCTTGCCAGTTTGCATGACCTGTAACTACACAGCAAATTCTGCAGTGAATGCAGGTTTGGAGCTAGCAGTTCAAGGAAAGAAAAGAGATTGTAAAGAAATTTGTGTGCTGGTCAGGAATTAAGCACCCAAAAATGATTTGCTATCTGCTAAAATAGTCCTTGACTGAAGACAGTATCGCAGTTTGTCCATAATCCATCTTTACCTGCCTGTTGTTCAGCGACATACTTAGTCTTACAGTTTCTGCATCTGTACTTAAAATTGTCTTCTCTCTCCCTCTATCCTGCAGTATTTCAACTACCTTTACACCTACAAAATGCCTGGGGACATTAAGAACTGGGTGGATGCTCATATGAACTGTGAAGATATTGCCATGAACTTTCTAGTGGCGAATGTCACTGGCAAATCAGTCATTAAGGTGGGACTTCCCTGCAGTTTAGTTTTACAAAGTTTCAAAACATAATGTATGTAATCACATACATTTTTTTAGTAAGCTTCAATATATTAATCATACTTTTTCTTGTGGTGACCCCTATTTTGGTGTCTTGTTCTTCTTCCATGGTAGAAAAGCCCTCTAAGTAAAACTTTGATGCTAAAGAAAGAACAGAGAATTGTTTTACCAGTTGTTTCTGGTGGTTATTTAGCCATCTAGATGAGGTATGAGAAAGGTGATTTAAATGATAGCTATATCTATATGTGGGTATGTATACACATGTACACCCATAACATTTTTCAATATACCATATATATATATATACACACACACCCCCACATATATATATTTTAACTATTTGGGATCACTAGAAGAAAGAAATTGCCAACTGTCCACAGCTCTCTTTGTCACAGCCTGGCAACAGCTGATTTATAGGAATGTTAATTGCAAGAATGTTAATTGCAAGATCAGCTTTAAATGAACTTTTTATCCCTGAATTAATTTCCTGACATGTTTCGACACGTTTTCAGGTCTGGACATTCACTCTGTACATTCATTTCCAAGTGTGTCAAGTTGGAATGAGATTTAGAGGCCACCAGGCGTTACTTCAATTAGCAGGGTCCATTTTCTCCTCTGTCCATCATCATTTACCGGGGCTGGTGGCTGCGTTTCCTAGAAAAGTCTTTAGAAGATAAAGTGTGTGTTTTTGCTGAGAAAGGTTTTGAGCTCTATGAGGGCACAGCAGAGTAATTTGGCACCTCTGTGCGATTCAGAGAGTCTTGTAGGGTTTGCCAGTCAGCTCTTAACTGGAGTGAGCAAAAGAGCGTCTGTTGGATTAACGTTACGGTGAAGTATGGGAAGCTATATTTCATCGCTGTTATGGCTGCAAGAACAAATGGTGTTTATACAGGGACCTTGGCAGTGAGAAAACAGTCATTAAACAGGAATTAAGGAGCTTGTCATCGCCACTTCTTTTCAGTTACAGAAGGAAAAAAATCCTCCAAGCCGTTTTTATTGGGCCCCTGTGAATTTTGCAGTCAGCCGGGCCAGATGGAGCTGAATGGAGGAATGGAGTGGCTTTTTTCTTCCTT